TAAATTGGTCGATCAAATGGCTGCATCATCCCAACATAAACATCCTAAGGAAGCTGATATTGAATCACAGTCTGGATCGCACCTCCCCATCCAGGCAACTCCAGTGAGGACTTCGCCTGGCTCGCGATCGGTTTCTCGAGAGAGAAGCAGGTCGCAATATGTCAGTCGTCTCCCTTGCCAGGAGGTGCAGGACATGGAGGCTTTGTCTCCAAACCATCCCGAGGGTGGTCGCCAGGAAGCGGGGGAGGTGCCTTCCTCCCATAAAAAAGAAAATAAGAACTGGCGACAAGGCACTTCCAAACTTCATAAAACGTAGGTTTTCGCGTCGACCATTATACCATGGAACTGTAGAAGTCTTAGAGCTAGATTAAATAACCTTAAATTATTAGCCTCGTCCTATGATCCTGATGTTATAGTTCTCCTGAACACACTCAACCTACCTCGTCTCTGACGAGGTCGTTCCACTGAAGAACTACCATTTACGTCGGAAGGCCTGTGAGGGTAGGGGTGGAGGTGGAGTCGCCATGTACATCCACCAAAACATCCCTTCTACTGGAGTGACTATTGATTCTACTTTGGAGTTTGTCGCATGCAAAGTAAAAATTAATGGCACGTATCTGACTACATGTAAATTTTTTGGTCCACCTGATAATGTGATAATCTATGATGAGCTCTTTGCTCTTCAGGATAGTCTGGAACAAAATTCAGTAATTTTAGGTGATTTTAGTGCTCATCATACGTTATGGGATGGTAGAGATGAGCAAGTATTTTAGTTGGTTAATGATTCTTATCTGGTCCTTCTGTACGATGTTAGTCCGATGCGGGTGGACGATAATACCGGTAATTTGATCAGATTGGGTTGCCTTCACAAGGACCGTCAAGTTCGAACTTGTTGGAGACACCATTGATGATATCAGCAATGATATCCATTCCTAATACTTCGACAGATAGCGTTAAGCGTAGAGTTCCATGGTGGACACCAGATTGCCCCAGGGCGCTGTGCCGACGCAATAAGGCCTAAAGGCTTTTCAAAAATAACATCAATAATGAGATCTTTTACAATTACAAATAAGCAAGAGATAGGACTTGTAGTCCTGGTAGGACTTTGTCTCTACAATTAATAGCAATACATCAATATCAGAGATTTGGTCCACTGTCAGCAAAAAAACAAACAAACAAAAAAAACATTCATGAGGGAACCAATTTTGAATCACCTAGAGACGTTGCTAATACACTCGCCAAACAATTCTCAATTCAAGCAGCTTAGACAATTACCATCCCACATTCCTGACCACCAAAGAAGCGGCTGAGCTGCAATTCACTCTGTCACAGGAGATGATTACAATAAAGATCTAACAATGGATGAGCTTGTCCGAGCCCTAGAAGCCTGTAGAGGAACATCCCCAGGCCCCGATGAGATTCGATATGAGATGATAAAGCATCTTAATCATGATTAAGTTGCTAGAAGTGTACTATGAAATTTGGAAAAGCCACACTTTTCCAAACTCATTGCACTTCGCCTACATGATTCCCATATTGAAAGGAGGGGGAAATCCCAGATCTGCCATCTTCTACCGCCCAACTGCGTTGACAAGTTGCTAATGCAAGGTCATGGAACGAATTGTTTACAGTAGGCTATTGCATTTTTTCAATTCCAGTAATTTACCAGTTGAAGAGAAGTGCAGCTTCAAAAAGGGATGACAAACTCTTAATCAATTAGTAAAACTGGACAGTCATATTCAAGAGGCAGTTGATTTGTGTATTTTTAGGTATAGAAAATGCCTATGACATGACATGGCGATATAGCCTACCAAGATAACTGCTTTTGGATTACATGGAAACTTGCCCTGTTTTATTTTAAATTTTATATCTAACAGAATTTTCTCTGTCAAACTTTTTTCTGACAATGTCACTTTTTCGGACATTTTTGTCTGGCAAACGGGGTCCCACAAGGAAGTGTCTTGTCGCCAACATTATTTCTATGTTTGATCAATGACATCCAGCTCCCCCTCGGAATCAACTGGCACTGGATATGATTCATATCTGGGGCCTCCAGTGGGGTTTTAAGTTCTCCACAAGAAAGAGTATTGGGGTAATTTTTTCACATAGGAGGAAGCCGAACATCAGGCTAACTCTAGACAACCACCCAATACCTATTCAAAATTCTGCTAGATTTCTTGGTCTACTCTTTGATCATAGACTTTATTAGAAAGATCACATTGGTTAATTAAAGAATAAATGCCAAAGAGCATATAATTAATTAAAGTGCTAGTAAGAAATGGGGAGCTGATAGAAAGTCTATGCTAATGATATATAGAACCCTTATTAGGTCTAAAGTAGATTATGGGTCAGTCGTGTATGACTCGGTATCAAACTCAATTTTGAAAGGATTGGGATGCTGTGCAGAATGCTTGTTTGCATATGTGTGTTGGAGCCCTAAAATGTACTCGGATTATGCGTCTTGAGGTGGAGTCAGGAGTATCTCCCCTCCAACTCAGATGCGGTCAGTTAGCAATGACCTATGCCACAAAGGTGGCCATCCTAATGACAATGGAGGCATTAGCCCCTCTGCCACACGACTCCACGACCTCGTCGAGAAAGGCGATTTAGATCTCTCTACCATCGATACCTTGGTTCAGTCAAACATAGCGTCATGGGAAACCCCCAATTTTTCCATTATGGAAACCTGGCTTCCATCAGCTAAGACCATGGCGCCGAAGGTGGAGGTGCGTCAGAGGTTCAGAGAGAGATTCAATTTAAACATCTCCCATTTTCCTATATATATATACCGACGGCTCCAAGACAGATGAGTGTGTGGGTGTGGGTGTATGGTCAACTGAATGTGAATTGAAGTTCAGACTGTCGAATCATACATCGATCTTTCTTGCCTAGCTCTCTGCCCTTGATAAAGCTATAGGTTTTGCACCATCGACGACCCATGATAAAAGAGTCATATTTTCTGATTCATTAAGTTCACTTAAAGCTATTAAATCATTGGAAAACACTAAATTTTAACTTCTGGGTAACATCATCTGTAAGCTAACATGGGTACCAGGGTCAAATGGACCATAACATAGTCTGTACAGATTTCAGGTGTTTTGTGTCTCTTATAAAAACAAAAAACTATCTGTGGCCATATGAGTTAACCAACCTACAAATACGTAATAAAATTAAAACATCATTAGAACTGTGGGACACGGCCCACCGGAAAGAATGAAGGGAGGAGGTGGTGTTGGCCCGTCTTAGGGTTATTGCCACTAGATTAACCCACCTCACTCCCTATATTGAGAAAAATTTCTCTCCACAATGCCCTGATTGCAACACCATAATCAAATTTGCTAGCAGATGATGAAAAAATAACAAGCAAAGTTATAGCTCCTCTAAGGGCGACAAAACTTTATGACCTTATATAGATTGAAATAATGAATAAGATTCATTGGCTTTTTATAATCCTGGCCACATGCCGCTGCCAAGATAGCCAAGAAATCCAACAAAGAAAGGCAAGAGGAAAAAAGTTCGGTTCTGACTTCTATCATGTACAGTGATCCCGCTCTCAGTGTTATCTGTGCTTGCTTTGTGGATTTACCTCGCTTCGCGGCAGGATTGTTAGACTGAAATATTAAAATATTTAAAACGTCATAAATAACAATAAATATTATATTAAAAAATCAAAGCATAAACATTATGCTCTAAATGTCTAAAACTATTGCATAAACATTATGCATAATCATTAATGCATAATATGTTTTTGATTACTAATGATGCGCGCGCATATCGCCGGACAAAACATTCCCGTTTCTATGTTAGCATTAGACGATTGGAAGGCTTGGTTGGAAGATCAAATTTCAAAGCAAAAAGTGTGTGGGAAACACTTCATCTCCGGTAGGTATCAAGTTGTAATGTTTTGAGATTTCATTCAATAATTCTTCGAAACAGCTTATTGATGTTGGGAATAAATGATCATTGTACTTGTTTTAAATTCAAGCCGTTTGCAGGCCTGGTGGGGGCATGAAGGACACAATACTTCAAGGGCACTTTTTCATAGGACACTTCCTCATGAAATTTGAAAAGGCTCTTCTTTGTTGTTGCAAAATTTTGGTGCACATGCCCCTGGTTCCCACGGCTATATCTGTTTTGTTTTCATTTGCTGTTGACAGTACCTTGTTCAATTCTTACCCCAATCATCTCCCCAAGGCAGCCCAGGGGTGAAGAAAACTTTTTTACACAAATGATATATGCCATGCCTGGGGGTGAGGCAATTTTTTTCTGGCAAAATCCTCGTGACTAAGTATTGAGAAAATGCATATCCCTAGTAAGTTTATTTAAGAAAAAGTTTTGCTTTGTCTCTGACTTGGTAGAACCTGTAGATACACATTTAATTTCACAGTCAACGTCAGAGGTGTGACTTTAATGTTAGAAAAAGAGATGTGTGTCCCTCAGCAACTGTGGTAAGAGACGAAGAATTTTTTTTTTCTTCTCTTCCCAAAACTCGCACCTTTTGATAAAAGAATCTGATTTGAGGATTGAGTGTTTTATTGTCATAAGTAATACACATTATAGTTCACATTCATGATTTGTTTCCAATACATTGTATTTATTTTATATATCAAGCTGTTGGTGACATTTTAATAGAAATCAATAGAATAGAACATCACGGGGAAGTACAAGAAAATAATGTTTGACAAATGTAACAGTAAAATAGGTTGCCACAGTAGTACGATGCTTACCAGACTTGTAGCAAAATACTCAAGGAAAATACAGATCATATGACTTAACAAAAGTGTGCAGGCAAATTTGAACAAGGTGATATTACATGACATTGTCAACATTACGTACATTTTAGGTAATTAAATTATTGGTGACATAGATTTCTCAACTTAAAACTTTCTTTTATTGACATAGCTTTGCTAAAAATATGTTAACTCACAATCAAGATTAAGAGCAGCATCAGAACAGCGCTGGCCAGGTCTAAGAATGCATGATCTGACAGAGTGGCTTGCACTTCCATGTACAAGGGGCGTCATGGATCATGAAATCGTCCACTCCATATAAGATGGCGCAGTTCTCCCCTAATCCGCCCCGGGGCTCTCGGCCGCTGTCGGAACAAAAGCCGTGTGTTATTTATTTAAATGGAGAATATTGTGCTAGGAAGTAGACAAGGCAGATAAACGGGTGTAGGCAAAGGCACACAGTCGTACGTATATCAATGTTTCCAAACCCACACATACAGATTCTCTCTCTTTCTCTCTCTCTCGCTCTCTGTATATATATATATATATATATATATATATATATATATATATATATATATATACATATATATATATATATATATTTTTTTTTTTTTTTTTTTTTTTTTTTTTTTTTTTTTTTTTTTTTCTTTCTTTTTTAACAGCCATTCAATCCACTGCAGGACATAGGCCTCTCTCAATTCAGTATTGAGAGGTTATATGGCGGTGTCACCTTTGCCTGATTGAATGCCCTTCTTAATCAACCGTGGTTCGGCGCGTTAACGCTTGTGCCACGGCGGTGACTTCCCCTACGACACCTGGGTTCGACTTCTCAAGCCGATATGTCGTTTTCCTCGGGCTCGAGCAAGTAGTCAGAGCGCAGGCATTTTTTATAACTGCCGCGACGGGGAATTGAACCCAATGCTCTAGCCATTGAGCTATCGCGGCAGTATGTGTGTGTGTGTGTGTGTGTGTGTGTGTGTGTGTGTGTGTGTGTGTGTGTGTGTGTGTGTGTGTGTGTGTGTGCGCG